TATAGAATATCCTCAACACTGCATCAATTATTATGGTCCTCATCCTGTACCTTGTTTGAAAACAATATGGAGTGATTTTGAATGTTTGGACCTTGGTACCAAGTATCCTGACAAACTATCTATTGATGAGCGTCAGCGTTATGATAAAATTACTTTGAGGTTTGTTATAATGAGTATTGATAAATTTATTTGACTAAAGATACAAATTTTATTCAATTGTTTTAAAATATTTCTATGGTTTGATAATAATGTTCGTACTATTCAGGGAATTGATTGCAGATTTTAAAAGCACTAGAAATCAAGCTGATACTGCTTCTAAAAAGCATCAACTTTTCTGCTTCGGAATGGGTAATAATTTTTTCTCAAATTGTATACATATTAGTATCATTAAGTATATGAACATAATGAATGATATGCTTAATTCATTTTGCATTTTGAATGATTCTGTTGATGAGATGGATATATTTATGTACATTGTCTGTTGTCTGTTGCTTTGTTTTCAAAACTTTGCAAGTTACATATAAGTTATATATTAATGGCATTGAAAATATGGCAAGGGCTAGTTTTTTTCATATTCATTCTGCTTGTGTAAAACTACTCTCTGAAATGACATGACCTGTGTTATTGTGAATTAACGAATTAATCTGTTTTTATTCTTTTATCATTTTCTTGTTATTAGAATACCCTCTTCACTGTACATTATATTATGGACCTCACCCTGTTGAATGTTTGGAAACAATTTGGATTTCTGAGGAATGCAAAGTTGATGGTCATAAATATCCGAAAAAATTATCAAATGAGGCTTTGAATCGGCATAATACAATGAATCAGAGGTTTGAATATGAATATATTATTTCTACAAGTGATTTTTGTACTAAAATTAATATTTTATGATTTACAGGGATATTATTACTGAATTTAAATCAGTAAAGTCTGCAGCTGATGAAGGTGATTCAGAGAACCAGAGATTTTGTTTTGGACTAGGTAAGTTTTTCATGTAAATGCATACCGGTAATGGTGTATTATATGAATATCCTGGATCATTGTTCAACGTTTTTTAAATTCTATACTTATTTACTTTGATGAAGTTAATAATATTTTTTCAAGTATATCCCTCAAATTGTGATGAGTACTATGGACCATATACCATTGATTGCCTTGAAACAATTTGGAAATTGGTGAAATGTCTTCCTGATGGATCAAAATTTCCACAAAAACTTCAATCTTCAGAAGTTAGTGGGTTCACTGGAAAGGGATTGACGTAAGAATGGTTGTTATTTCTTGCAAACTTTTGCCATTTAAAGTAGAATGAAGTCAACTTTTCTGATATTGTGCAAGAAAATATGGGTACTTTGACTATTTCATTAATCCTATAAACATATAGTATTATGATCTTCAATACCTGTTTGAAAAAGTGGTACACAAATTATATTGATTAATGGAAATTAAAAAGTTGAAAATATTTCAGCCCTCTCATCAAATTATTCAACACATCTGCACTTTCTGCTGATAAAGGAGATGTTAAATTCCAAGAAGAATGCTTTGGATTAGGTATTTTATTTTTATCTTTTGATTATTTATTTAGTGCAGAATAAGTAAAATTCAACATAGCAATGCAGTTATAACCTTCAGTTTTCATAGCCATGGACAAGCAAAATTAGGTGTTAATGTCAATCATGAATTTGAGGGTCTCTTGCATCCAATTTATGTCTGTGCGACTGCGTGTATACATAGCCTCATACTTGAAATTTTTTATATATAAGGATATTCTCAAGTACAATTTTTCTAACACTCAGTGTCCGACATCTTAATAAATTTTTTTACAAAAAAACGAGATAATTGCCTATTGTCCTGAAATGGCTTGTGAATATTTTTATGCCATACTTGTTAATTTGACTCAAAACTCAAATTGATTAAAACTATTGTGTTATTGTGGTTAGTCTGATCCATTTGTCAGTGTGAAATGACTTTGGTTTTGTTGTTTTTTATGCTGTGAATATGTAACTTTCTATTTAATTAACTATGGTATACTAACTTTGTTGTGTATTTACGTCATAGCTTGTTGTTTTTTAACACAGACTAGATTTGTGATTATAATGTCATAATTGTTTTCTCGTAATTGCTCCTTGCTTTTACCTGTCTGCGTGCTTGTTATTCACGCTTGTGTTTGAACTGTCTAGCGTTAAGCTGTGTTGTACTGACGTCTTACTTTGCCGTATAATAAACTGTAATATTTCTGTCTACTGGTCATTTGGTAATACCCAAGACATCACAAACTTCATAAACTTAGCTTATTAATATTATCATTTATATATTGGCACATTTTTAAGGTCAATGTATTATATATTGAAATCACAAACATTGCGTGTTTTTATTGCTTTCATTTCACTATTTTCCATGTTGTTAAGAATATCCTGAGGGTTGTATCAACTACTATGGACCACATCCTATGGAATGTTTAATTACAATATGGAAATCTTTCAATTGTTTGGAACTTGGTACAAGATTTCCTAACAAACTTTCAGAATCTGACCATCAGCGTCTTGACATGTTAAATATCAGGTACTTTTTATCCATGATAATGTAGTAAAAACATTTGTAGATGTGTGATTTGACTTTTTGAATTTCTTAAATTGATTTTTTTCTCAGATTAATTCTGAGATCACGTCTGAATAAATAGAGTAAAACTCTGAACAAATCATAACAGTAGAAACTATGAATATAGTTAAGTGTTTTAGTTAGTTTGATATCCTTGAAAATAAAGTAATTTTTAGATCATGAAATTTCAGAATTGATTTTGTTTTGGGGTTTATGTCACATCCTATTCCAGAACAGACGCTATCTTATTTTAATTGACTTTGGTCAATGTATTGATCTAGAAAGATATAAGATGTCAATGTCAATTTTCCTTGTATTAAACATCTAATATTTATTAGCAAAAAATGTCAAAACTTGACCTAGTTTCTGAAATTTTTTTCTCCGTGCTATCTGTGAATATAAGTGCATGAATTTCAACACTTAATATGAATTGTGGAACAGCTTTCTGCAATGTTTATATACATAAAATTGAAAGTACAAATGCATTGATTGAAGAAACTATAAATTTAAAACAAAGATCTTTTAAGTACATTTGTTTGTTATGAAACCATTCCATTAAATTGTTCTTTGACATCAAAATTTACAGTTATCAAAAAATCCAATTCTTTGAAACTCAAATTCAGAGAGAGAAATGTTAATATTATAATTTCAAACAGGTGGTGGGGCGCATCGTGTTAAACGTTAAAAATATGCTCACCACTGCATCTCTGATTACCCTGCATGATTTCGCAGGTTCGAATCCCATGCGAGGATAGTTAAGTGCGAGAGGATTGCTGGACTCCTCGCCGCCGTAGGGTGGTTCACACAACTGCAGGTTCGTCACGGCTTCCCCCACCATCAAGTCCATGCTCCTGAAAACTAATAATTGGCTAACTAATCCCATTCTCGGCATGGACTGGTAACCAGACGAGAAGCAGTGGTTCGCCATATGATTAAGCCGTCTTATTGACTTTCTTCTCCTCGGGATAAATATGTAAATCCTATCCTATGTGTCATACTTTCAGAATTTGCACGTCTTATTGTGACAGAAACAGGCCAGTTCTTTTCTATATAATATTTGTATTACAGGGAAGTAACAGCAGAATTTGAAAATATTAGAAAAGAAGCTGATGATAACAATAAAGATTCACAAATGTATTGCTTCGGAATGGGTAAGATCATCTGTTTGATTTTTTGCTCATTTTTAAATCATTGAATCCTCTTACCATGGAAGTTCAGTGTTTTTATTTTATTTTAAATACTATGTTTGACCTTTAATCACTGCATTTGTTTATTTTAAGAATACCCATTGCATTGTGTAAAATACTATGGACCACATCCAGTCAACTGCTTGGATACAATTTGGAAATCTGCACGTTGTATAATAGAAGGAAACAAAGATCCATCAAAGTTACCACAATCAGAACTGACACGTCTCGATAAAAGAAATTTGAGGTTTTTTGATCACTTCGACTCAATTTTAACAGTTTTTTATTTTATCATTTTACTTCCTTTGTAGGGAAATTATTGATGAGTTCAATGGAATGATGTCTGCCGCTGATAGTCAAAATGTGGAAAATCAAAACTTTTGCTTCGGTTTACGTAAGTGTTTTGAAATAATCCTGAGCTTCAGATTAAATTATTCAAACTTGTTTTTCATCTGATTAAAACAATATTCATATCTGAATTGCATACAAATGATTTCACTTGTCCTCCACCCATGGGGAGAAATACAGATAAATAGACATTGTTTTATATTCATCATTATTAGATAATTATTTTTAATTTCTGTCTAGCTTATCCTGCCAACTGTAATAAGTACTATGGTCCATATTCTGTTGAATGTTTAACCACTATATGGAGTTCAGTAAGATGCGTTCCTGAAGGAAATGAACACCCCACAAAATTATCTGCAGATGTCATTGCCGCCTTTACCGAAATGGGACTTAGGTTTGTCACTTTTTGTGCTCTTGTTTGAATTGGCATTCTTCATCAAGTTGAAAATGACAAGAGAATCCACCTTTATTTTTATACAGACCACTGATTGCACAATTCAATGCGTCAGCTATTGCATCAGATAATGGAGATGTAAGTCATCAGATGAAATGCTTTGGAATGGGTGAGAAACTTTCGTATTACCTGACTTCTTTTTTTATTCCGTGCATAATCGAGTTCATTTCAATTTTATGATAAACTGATTTTACTGATTTTATATTATTTTCAAAATTTACTAAACACCGCATGAAAAACTTAATGCAACATAATTATATAAAATAGTAATATCAACATTAGTAATTGAAAAAGTAATACTTAAAAGAGCACCAACATATTCCTCTGACAATTGAAAAATGTGCTCGAATTTAACAATCGGATTTTCTGCTTTCCTTGTATGTAGAATATCCCCAGCACTGCATCAAATACTATGGACAGCATCCTGTTTCTTGTTTAAAAACAATATGGAGCCATTTTGAATGTCTAAAACTTGGTACTAGATATCCTGATAAGCTTTCAACAGATGAACTGCAGCGTTACGATACACTGACATTGAGGTGAGTTATATTTTGACTTATTAATTTTGATTTTTTTCAATATTTAGTTTAGAATCGAAGAAAGTTTTGTCCAACAGAAATGCATTGAAATACCAGCATACCTATCTTTTTGGAAAAAATCAAATATATACTCAATTATAAACTCAAATAAAACAAGGAAAACTTGTCAAACAAATTTTGACTGTATTTGATATCTGAATTTAATACTTCTACATTTTATGTCCTTTACATTTTTGATTTGTTTTATAAATTGATTAAATTAAAAACTGAAGCAGGTCTTTAATAAAGTTTGAAGTTTTGCCAGTGCGTACAAAGTTCAACTAATACTGTGAGTGAATTGATATGAGGATGTAAAAGGGCCATTGAGTGTAAGCCTGTAATTATCATACATTTAATTATATGGCTATTATGCTTGTTTACATATCGTTATTCAAATAATTGTAAATCAACTATTTCTTATGATTGAGCCTATTGAATTGAAGGCATTGTAATTTTCACTAATGGGAAATTCTATACACTCTCCAATATTTGACTAACAAATGATCAAATAAAAATTACGGTATGTCCATTACAGGGAATTGATTGCAGATTTTAAAAGCACTAGAAAACAAGCGGACAGTGCTTCGAAGACACACCAACAATATTGCTTCGGGATGGGTAAAATTATTCTTTGGCTTTGTTTCACCTTGATGTTATTGCTGCGTAATAAGGGCAATTGTAATGTTATTTTATATTCTTAATAATATGATATTTTCAGAATATCCTCTTCACTGTACTCTATATTATGGACCTCACCCTGTTGAATGTTTGGTAACAATTTGGATTTCGGAACTTTGTTTACCTGCTGGTAATAAACATCCATCTAAACTTTCCAAAGATGTGTTGGATCAACATGATCAAAAGAATCAAAGGTGAATAATTCTCAAAGTTCTTGTTCAATTCAAAGGTTCTGGAACTACATTTGTTTATAATGGGATCTAATGTAGCCTATTACTTAGTTATTTCAACATTTCTAGCCCATATAGTCCTATAAAATTCCACACTATTGAAAAAACACATTTTTTGGAAATATAGACTTGGATATGGTGACAAGGGGGATATAAATAAATTATTTTACTATTTACGTTGAGACTGGTATAATAATATACCAGTCATGTGGAAAGTTATGAGCAGTAGTTAATCCTCTGCACTTTCTGATGTTAAATTAGAATACAGATAGTGAGACTCCAGTCCCGTGGCTGCCATTATAATATTGTATGGTGTTATATTTTCAATTGATTTTGTATCATAAGAAGGGACTGATAATTGATAATTTCTATCTATAGTAATTCATTTCCACATAATACTTTGATAAAATATTCCCAGATATTCAAATTGCAAATTGCCACGATGTTTGTTAGCTGTTTCCATATCATTGAATATGGAGTTGATGTCCCCCAAAATACTTATAATGATCAAATACCTCATGTTGGCATATTCAAATATATTAGTTTGAAATATTTGAGTTTCATGTTGAAAAGTGTTGTACTTGCTTCTAGACAGGGAAAGCCTTGTTAGTGATCTTTTATTTTCATCATACACATATGCCTAGCACTCCATATTACAAAGTAATATAAATTTTTTTAATAGTGCCATTTTAGTGGTGCTTATTGATAAAAAATATTTTTTCAGGGAAATCATTTCTGAATTTAAATCTATCAAATCTCTAGCAGATGAAGGTGATCATGACAATCAAAATTTCTGTTTTGGATTGGGTTAGTGCATTTCTTTCTTTAAGATATGTTTATTATAATGATGACACTTTATGCATGAAAAATTCGAAAATTATTGTTTTTTAGCATATCCCAAGCACTGTGATGAGTACTATGGACCATATGGTATGGATTGTCTAAAAACTATTTGGGAATTGGTGAAATGTCTTGCCGATGGAACGAAGTTTCCACCTAAACTAGACTCTGTGGAAATTGATGGATTCAAAGGGATGGGATTAACGTGAGTATTTATCAGAATCTCTTCGATCATCTTTTTATCTTGTCAATATTTGAACTAGGAGATAAATGTTTATTTCACAATTAATCATGCTTTAATATAAAACACAATTCATAATTTTTCAGTCCACTTATCAAGCTTTTCAACACATCTTCTCTTTCTGCTGATAAGGGTGATGTCAAATTTCAACAAGAATGTTTTGGATTAGGTATGCTTTTTGTTTTATAAAAATGAGATTATGGCGTCGTTTGAGTATCAGTCTCTTGATATTTAGAATATCCTGGGGGTTGTGTCAACTATTATGGACCACATCCCATGCAATGCCTAATCACAATATGGAAATCATTTGAATGTTTGGAACTTGGATCAAGATTTCCAGAAAAACTTTCAAGATCTGAACTACAACGAATTGATAATCTAAATATCAGGTTTATGTTTTATTTAGCTCCTGTTCCAAGACACATACGATACCTATTTTATATTATCTTCTTGGTGTCTCACATCGGTATTGCCGAGAATTGTGTGCACTTAGGTATAAATAAACATTATCAATTGAATATTATTTTAGGGAAGTAACGGCTGAATTTAAGGTTATCAGGAATGATGCGGATAATAACAATAAGGAGTCACAGGTGTACTGTTTTGGAATGGGTGAGAACGGTTTTCGCTATGTTTTTCACATTCAATTTTTAAATGTATTTTATGATTTATTTGACTGATTGATTTGAGATCAGGCCATAGTTGTTAATTTGATCAAATATTTTTCATTATCCATGTATTCGGTTGCTTTCAATGTTGAATGAACTTTAAAATATGAAATATATAAAGTGATACCTCGGTAGTCGCACATATTTTATTGAGGATTTGTTCGACTTCTGATTTGTTCGAGTGCCCGTACCTTTTTTTTGCCATGAGAAACAATGTTAACTATTTAATTCGTTCTTAAGAATTCCAAAATAATCATAATAATAATGAACCATGTAAATAACAACAATAATTATTTAAATGTGTACAATACATAAAGATGAAATTTTGCATTAGTTACCGCATGTTTAATAAGCAAATTGTGGACTTTTTTATCGTTTCTGGTTAGTCGTTAAGTCTGCTGTCCTGGTATTGTGACATATATTTGAGCCTCGCTTCTTTGTTGAATAGTCAAGAGGCAGCTGAGCTGTGCAGTTTGGGTGATGTCATTGCACTCGGCATCGCGGTCGGATGTTTGAGCATCGAACTTTTACTTGATATCACAGAATTTCTGACTAGAATTTTTTGGTCGACTATCTAATTTTTCGAGTATCGAGCTGGTTCGACTATCGAGATAAGCATTGTATATTCTTTTGGTTCAGTGATCTACGGGTTTGTACTCTGAAATTGATTTTTCAGGTATATTAAGAATCTCAAGTCAACACTGAAACTGTTTTCAATGTTCTAGATTTTATCTATTCGATTGGTCGCTTGGTCATGCTAAAAACAAATCAAATCTCTTTGGTTTAATATTCACTTCTAAGCTATTTTATTATTGCTTTTGTTTGCAGAATATCCACTACATTGTCTAAAATATTACGGACCACATCCAGTGAATTGTCTGGAGACCATGTGGACTTCTGCACGTTGCATAAATGAAGGGAAAAAACATCCTACAAAATTAAGTCAAGCAGATCTAACCCGCCTTGATGGAAACAATTTAAGGTGAAAATCACTCAGTACAGCTTTTATCCCGCCAGCCAGCATATTATATGTATGTAATATGTTTTTGCTTATTGTTGAAACAGAGAAATAATAAATGAGTTTAATGGAACAAAGTCAGCTGCAGATAATGGGAATGTAGAGAATCAAAATTTTTGCTTTGGATTACGTAAGATGTTTTTGTATATAGTTACAGATTTTACCTTCATTTTATTGTTCGTTTATTAAATTGATACTGACAATTGCCTGATAGAGTATTATTAATGCATACTCTTGTCTTATTCTAGCATATCCTGCCCACTGTGATAAGTATTATGGCCCATATTCTGTTGAATGCCTAACTACAATATGGACTTCAGTGAGATGTTTGCCAGAAGGTGAAGAATATCCTCACAAGTTATCTGAAAGTGCTATAGCAGCTTTCACTGAAATGGGACTGAGGTTAGAATAAAAAATTTGGGAATATTTTTTACATTAATACATTGCTTAACAAATCACTTGAATTGTTATAGACCATTGATCGCACAGTTTAATGCCTCAGCTCTTGCATCAGATAACGGAGATGTTGGTCATCAGAAGAAATGCTTTGGAATGGGTGAGACTTTTTACATTTATTATTGTGTGAGACATTCACTTATTTATATATATAGGTAAATGTATATTTTTAATAAATTTTCAATTTTTCTAGAATATCCAAAGCACTGTGTAAAATACTATGGACCACATCCTACATCTTGTTTGAAAACGATTTGGAGTCATTTTGAATGTTTGGAACTTGGAACTAAATATCCTGATAAACTTACAACAGAGGAACATCAAAGATATGACAAACAAACACTTAGGTAGGTTGGTTCAATTTTTGATGAATTTTAAGAATTGATACTTTTTCATTGACCACATTTTTTAAATCAGGGAAGTCATCAGTGATTTTGAAAACACAAGGAACAAGGCTGATAGTGCTTCTAAACAACATCAGCAATACTGTTTTGGAATGGGTAAGAAAGGAATTTCATTTGTTTTATTCATGAATCTTGAGTGAATAGTTTTTTATTACTTCTTCATTTGACACAGAATATCCTCTCCATTGTACATTATATTATGGACCTCACCCTGTTGAATGTTTGGTAACGATCTGGATTTTGGAACTTTGCTTACCTGATGGTCATAAACATCCAACTAAACTATCCAATGACGCCTTGGAACGGCATGATCAAATGAATCAAAGGTATGTAGATTGGTAAGTTACTGTATTTACCACTATTTATGTGTATATTTAATTGTATGATTTATTTCAGAGAAATTATAAGTGAATTCAAGTCTATCAAATCTTCTGCGGATGAAGGTGATCATGACAATCAGAATTTTTGTTTTGGAATGGGTCAGTAATTTTTTTTGTAACAATGTTCATTATCTTACATGGCATTTCATTACTTGGAAGCATTCACTTTCTATATTACTATTTCAAATGCAAACTAGTCCATTCCTAACATGATTGAATCACTTTTTAGCATATCCCAAGCACTGTAATGAGTATTATGGACCATACATTATTGATTGTCTTAAAACAATTTGGGAAATGGTAAGATGCCTTCCTGATGGATCAAAATTTCCATCCAAACTAGACTCAGCAGAAATTGATGGATTCAATGGAATGGGATTGACGTAAAGTTTTTTTCTTTTAACATAAATATATCAATCATCTCTTTTCTCCTGAAAGAACCTATATGGGCATTATGCATGTTAGTTGATGTAAATATTTTCACGAATATCTAGTTTTCAACCAATACAAAAATAAGAGCTTACCATAATTGCAAAATGAATGTGATTTCTTTAATATCTGCTATGTAAATTTTTTTATTTATTCAGTCCACTCATTGAACTCTTCAACACGTCTGCACTTTCTGCCGATAAGGGCGATGTCAAATTCCAACAGGAATGTTTTGGATTGGGTATGATTTATTGTTTTTTTTAATTTTTAATTTCAATTTGAGTGTTTGTTTGAGTATCAGTCTTGATGTTTAGAATATCCTGAGGGTTGTGTCAACTACTACGGGCCACATCCCATGGAATGCTTAATCACAATATGGAAATCATTCGAATGTTTGGAACTTGGATCAAGATTTCCAGAAAAACTTCCAAGATCTGAACTTCAACGAATTGATAATCTAAATATCAGGTTTATAACCTATTTAGCTTCTGTTCCAAGATACATGCCTATTTTATATTATCTTATTGTTGTCTCACATCAGTATTGCTAGGGATTGTGTGCGCTTAGTATCAATAAACATTATCAATTGATTATTATTTTAGGGAAGTAACGGCTGAATTTAAGGTTATCAGGAATGATGCGGATAATAACAATAAGGAGTCACAGGTGTACTGTTTTGGAATGGGTGAGAACGGTTTTCGCTATGTTTTTCACATTCAATGTTTAAATGTATTTTATGATTTATTTGACTGACTGACTGATTGATCTGAGATCAGGCCATAGTTGTAAACTTTAATTTGATCAAATATTTTTCATTATCCATGTATTCGGTTGCTTTCAATGTTGAATGAACTTGAAAATATGAAATATATAAAGTGATACCTCGGTAGTCGCACATATTTTATTGAGGATTTGTGTACTACTTCTGATTTGTTCGAGTGCCCTTAACTTTTTTTGCCATAAGAAACAATGTTAACTATTTAATTCGTTCTTACGAATTCCAAAATACTCATAATAATAATAAACCATGTAAATAACAACAATAATTATTTAAATGTGTACATAAAGATGAAATTTTGCATTAGTTACCGCATGTTTAATAAGCAAATTGTGGACTTTTTTAGCGTTTCTGGTTAGTCAATGAGTCTGCCGTGCTGGTATTGTGTTCATATATTTGAGCCTCGCTTCCTTGTTGAATAGTCTAGAGGCAGCCGAGCTGTGCAGTTTGGGTGATGTCATCGCACTCAGCATCGCGGTCGGATGTTTGAGCATCGAACTATACTTGATATCACAGAATTTTTGACTAGAATTTTTTGGTCGACTATCTAATTTTTCGAGTATCGAGTTGGTTCGACTATCGAGATAATCATTGTATATTCTTATGGTACAGTGTTCTAAAGGTTTGTACTCTGAAATTGATTTTTCAGGTATATTAAGAATCTCAAGTCAACACTGAAACTGTTTTCAATGTTCTAGATTTTATCTATTCGATTGTCATTATGCTAAAATCAAATTAAATTTCTTGGGTTCAATATTCACTTCTATGCTATTTATTTTGCTTTTGTTTGCAGAATATCCACTGCATTGCTTAAAATATTACGGACCACATCCAGTGAATTGTCTGGAGACCATGTGGACTTCTGCACGGTGCATAAATGAAGGGAAAAAACATCCTACAAAATTAAGTCAAGCAGATCTAACCCGCCTTGATGGAAACAATTTAAGGTGAAAATCACCTAGTACAGCTTTTATCCCGCCAGCCAGCATATTATATGTATGTAATATGTTTTTGCTTATTGTTTAAACAGAGAAATAATAAATGAGTTTAATGGAACAAAGTCATCTGCAGATAATGGAGATGTAGAGAATCAAAATTTTTGCTTCGGATTACGTAAGATGTTTCGTATATAGTTACAGCTTTTAACTTCAGTTTATTGTTCGTTTATTAAATTGATACTGACGATTGCCTCATAGAGTATTATTAATGCATACTCTTGTCTTGTTCTAGCATATCCTGCCCACTGTGATAAGTATTATGGCCCATATTCTGTTGAATGCCTAACTACAATATGGACTTCAGTGAGATGTTTGCCAGAAGGTGAAGAATATCCTCACAAGTTATCTGAAAGTGCTATAGCAGCTTTCACTGAAATGGGACTGAGGTTAGATAAAAAATTTGGGAATATTTTTTTACATTGATACATTGCTTAACAAATCACTTGAATTGTTATAGACCATTGATCGCACAGTTAATGCCTCAGCTCTTGCATCAGATAACGGAGATGTTGGTCATCAGAAGAAATGCTTTGGAATGGGTGAGACTTTTTACATTTATTATTGTGTGAGACATTCACTTATTTATATATATAGGTAAATGTATATTTTTAATAAATTTTCAATTTTTTCCAGAATATCCACAGCACTGTGTAAAATACTATGGACCACATCCTACATCTTGTTTGAAAACGATTTGGAGTCATTTTGAATGTTTAGAACTTGGAACTAAATATCCTGATAAACTTACAACAGAGGAACATCAAAGATATGACAAACAAACACTTAGGTAGGTTGGTTCAATTTTTGATGAATTTTAAGAATTGATACTTTTTCATTGACCACATTTTTTAAATCAGGGAAGTCATCAGTGATTTTGAAAACACAAGGAACAAGGCTGATAGTGCTTCTAAACAACATCAGCAATACTGTTTTGGAATGGGTAAGAAAGGAATTTCATTTGTTTTATTCATGAATCTTGAGTGAATAGTTTTTTAAATACTTCTTCATTTGACACAGAATATCCTCTCCATTGTACATTATATTATGGACCTCACCCTGTTGAATGTTTGGTAACGATCTGGATTTTGGAACTTTGCTTACCTGATGGTCATAAACATCCAACTAAACTTTCCAATGACGCCTTGGAACGGCATGATCAAATGAATCAAAGGTATGTAGATTGGTAAGTTACTGTATTTACCACTATTTATGTGTATATTTTAATTGTATGATTTATTTCAGAGAAATTATAAGTGAATTCAAGTCTATCAAATCTTCTGCGGATGAAGGTGATCATGACAATCAGAATTTTTGTTTTGGAATGGGTCAGTAACTTATTTTCTTGTAACAATGTTCATTATCTTACATGGCATTTCATTACTTAAATGCATTCACTTTCTATATTACTATTTCAAATGCAAACTAGTCCATTCCTAACATGATTGAATCACTTTTTAGCATATCCCAAGCACTGTGATGAGTATTATGGACCATACATTATTGATTGTCTTAAAACAATTTGGGAAATGGTAAGATGCCTTCCTGATGGATCAAAATTTCCATCCAAACTAGACTCAGCAGAAATTGATGGATTCAATGGAATGGGATTGACGTAAAGTTTTTTTCTTTTAACATAAATATATCAATCATCTCTTTTCTCCTGAAAGAACCTATATGGGCATTATGCATGTTAGTTGATGTAAATATTTTCACGAATATCTAGTTTTCAACCAATACAAAAATAAGAGCTTACCATAATTGCAAAATGAATGTGTTTTCTTTAATATCTGCTATGTAAATTTTTTTATTTATTCAGTCCACTCATTGAACTCTTCAACACGTCTGCACTTTCTGCCGATAAGGGCGATGTCAAATTCCAACAGGAATGTTTTGGATTGGGTATGCTTTATTGGTTTTTTAATTTTTGATCAATTTGAGTGTTTGTTTGAGTATCAGTCTTGATGTTTAGAATATCCTGAGGGTTGTGTCAAACTATGGGCCACATCCCATGGAATGCTTAATCACAATATGGAAATCATTCGAATGTTTGGAACTTGGATCAAGATTTCCAGAAAAACTTCCAAGATCTGAACTTCAACGAATTGATAATCTAAATATCAGGTTTATAACCTATTTAGCTTCTGTTCCAAGATACATGCCTATTTTATATTATCTTATTGTTGTCTCACATCAGTATTGCTAGGGATTGTGTGCACTTAGGTATAAATAAACATTATCAATTGATTATTTAGGGAAGTAACGGCTGAATTTAAGGTTATCAGGAATGATGCGGATAATAACAATAAGGAGTCACAGGTGTACTGTTTTGGAATGGGTGAGAACGGTTTTCGCTATGTTTTTCACATTCAATGTTTAAATGTATTTTATGATTTATTTGACTGACTGACTGATTAATCTGAGATCAGGTCATAGTTTTAAACTTTAATTTGATCAAATATTTTTCATTATCCATGTATTCGGTTGATTTCAATGTTGAATGAACTTGAAAATATGAAATATATAAAGTGATACATCAGTAGTTGCCAAGGATGGCCATTTCCGAATACTAAACTATTCCGAATACATTCTAAAATAATGTTTTCGAATCTGGAATTCCGAATACATTCTAAAATCGAAAATAACACATTTTTGTTTAGTTTATTAAAACCCAGTAAATTAGGAAATAAGCTTCAAAAAAAATATCAGAATAAAGCCACAAACCAACAATATATGTACACAAGATAATTGATAGTTTATAGCTATCAATAAAAAATAATAGCAACTTGTGACACAGTCAATTTATTAAAATTATTCACTTTGTACAAATGACCATATGAAAAAATAGCCAAGGAGTTGTCTGACGCTTTCTATCATTGGTACCATGATATTATGATAATAGTCAAGTCTGTTGACCAAAATATTACTTGTATTCAGATAATTGTGTATGTATTTTTAATTTTAATTATTCTGCGTGGATTCGCAGGTTCGAATCCCGTGCAGGGATGGTTATGTGCGAGAGGATTGCTGGACTCCTCGCCGTCGTTGGGTGGTTCACGTAACCGCTGGTCGGTTACGGCTTCCTCCACCACCAAGTCCATGCTTCCGAAAACAAACAATATAACTAATCCCATACCCGACTTGGAATGGTAAACGGACGAGAGGCCGTGGTTCGCCATATGGATAAGCGTCTTATCGGCTTTCCTCTCCCCCGGGATAAATATGTAAATCCTATCCTATTCTGAGAGTAATAAATACAGGCAACTGAAACAAGCAACAACAATCGAAAATCCTTGCCTTTAAAAATTCGAAGATTTAAGCATAGAGTATTCTACTACCTACCAGTATATTTGTATATTAATTTATATGAACCATATTGTCATTATGTGTAACATATTGTTGTGTTTGAATTAGAAATAAATTAGTAGTGGATAAATTACCACCACTTCCAGCCGCGCAGCCAGGATTTTCGAAATCGAAAAATTCTCATTGCCGCCTGTAACACCAAAGTGACTCTGGTAAAACCCACCGCGATTCCGCGCTTGTTAATTGAAAGAGACGTCTTTTCAGCGTATAATGATCATTCTGTTACGTAAAATATTCAATCCATGACAACTACGAGTTTCTAAAATATCTTTATATATTAATTTAATGTGTCCAACGTAACTCGCGGTTGCTTCTTACGTCCAAAAAAAACATTACTATTCCGTCCACGGCGATCTGTGACCTGAAAGTACGAGATAAACTGCCTGATGTATTTTATTTTAATACATATTTTTGCAATCTTGCCAACTCGTTATCGCCGTTAGAAAAATCTCCGTTAAGTGCAGAGTATAATTCATTTCATACAATGAATACAAATATAAAGTTTAGCAGTAAATTGAAAATTCATATTCATCGCCGCGATTATGCCACCTGTTAAAAGAGTCGACTTTTACAACAAATAATATAACAATATATTTTTCTGTTGTGCAAAGTGATGAATTCGTGACCGATACGGGCATATTTAAAATGTCTTGCCTTATTATTAATTTAATTGTCTTCAATTTAACCTGCGGTTGCGTCGACAAAATAAAATCCTCACCACTCTTATATACCATTGCAATCCGCGGTCATAAAATAAAAACGTGTGGTAAACTGCCCGATTAAATAATGTTTTGATCCGTATTTTGCGAATTTGGCAAATATTTAGATGTACTTGTTAACAGTGTCTCCGCTCAATCGAAATGCTGCCACTCTGATTATTTTTAGATAAAACCGTTCGAAAAATCCGTAAATCTTCTGTAACATCTCCGAGTAAATTATTTCATCAAAATAAAATTGATTAAATATACTTTGAAAATATCCGACGGCAATTTAAAGTATTGGATAATCAGGCAAATACCGCCCTCAATTCGTGACGATATGTTTCTAAACGCCGACCAAACATAATGTGTGCCAGAGGCACACGAAATTCTGCGATTTTCACTGCATAGAAAAGCGTTTTTTAAATTTTCGCGGGCCTCAATAAAACTTAACTCTTTGAACCCTGAAGGCCGCTATAGCGGCTTTCCCGAGAAAGTCTTCTGACGCTGAAAGCCGATTTAGCGGCTTTCACATCCCATAAGAGGTATGCAACTTTGAAACCTCATATCTCGCGAACCATATATTATATTTAGATAAGTTTTACATCGTGTGAAAGATAATCTACAGCAGTGGTTCCCAAACTTTTTTGACCATCGCCCCCCAAAGCAGTTTATGCAACTTCATCGCCCCCTGCACTACAAAAAGATATAAAGTCAGAAACGAATATATTACAGACCAAATAAGAAGACAAATCTTAGTTTATAGTGTTTTTTAATGAGATAGATGAGCTTGGTGTTCTTCAGCGAGTTTTTTATTATATCTAAAATTACCCCGTTTACTGATGGAAAGGTGATTTCGTTGTTTTAATAGCAATAGTAGCACGGCTGGAAACCCCTTTTTCACCATATAATAGGTCGGAAATGAAAGAATCCAGGGCTCTACCTGCTCAAAAACAGCCGTGTACTCTTCCCTTATAGCATTTCACTTCCTAAATTCACCCCATTTCACATTAAAATAATAAAAAAAGCTAATTTTCCCTAAGTTATAATAATTCGTACATCTCATTCATTCGTACAGCCTGATGACCTGCACTAAAATACTTCGGAAAAATTCATCCCCGATTCCTCATCGTATCACGGCCACCAGTCCGATCACCATTCCATAATTAACCAGCCATTTATTTGCTTTTGGATTCATGGACTCGGATGTGGAAGAAGCCGTGACTGACCATCGGCTACGGTCCAGGGGTCGGCAAATTTTATGTCGCTCGCAGGACAAAATTCAGGGTTGCTAGTCTTTTGCGGGTCGCATATATTTTTTGAAAGTTAAAAACGGAACAGCGCGCGAAAACTGCGACAATTCGTGAACTCAACTTAGTCGTCTTATTGAAAAAATATTACAATGGCATTTAATGTGACACTGTCTTGTTGCTGCATCACGCTGGATAGCTTTACGACGCCAAGATTGAAACATTTTCTAAATGGTTATCACCAAACCCACTTCTTTGCTTGTTCTTTGTAATGTTCATTTTCGAAAATAATGGTTTGCACAAATATGTACTTCCAAACATCGAAGTGAATATTTTCGCATGATTTGTGAAATTTTGATGAATATTTTCTTTAAGAAGATACATTCTTACAAAAATTAAGCAGTGATGAATCTCTTGAATAGAATATGAATTTTATTTCCTTATTGCTTTGCAATATTTTCGAATATTTACTGCGCTATTGAACCCCTGCACTCAGCATCAACTTTTCTGCGTGTTTCCATTTGTCTAATTATAATTAAATTGTAGGCTCATTAAACGAGTCGCTGTTCAATAAATTGTTGGGATATAGTATAATTTAGTCTGAACGTGTCTCACGACAAATTCTGTTACGTAAAAAAATGTAATTTACTCCTCGAGCGTAGATTATAAATAAAAAATTTTCATCGTCAAAACCGCCGTTTGGATATTTACCCGGGCATAGACTTCCTTGTTTACTTCGTGACATTGGCCAATCAGCAAGATGCAAAAAACGTAACAATGCCCCCTTTCGCATCCGCTCAGGCGCTCAGACACTCTCACTCAGACAGATTTTCAGGCGTGGTCGTGAACATTTCGTCGTCTCATTTTTGCGTTTTTGAATTATATTCGTTCGTTTTTAGTTGTTTTTCGGAAATTTAAATATAAATCAAATAAGTCAATGATTACTTTGATTTTCTATGAGTTTCAGTTTAAATACAGCAATCAAAAATCATATGGATAAGCGTCTTATCGGCTTTCCTCTCCCCCGGGATAAATATGTAAATCCTATCCTATTCTGAGAGTAATAAATACAGGCAACTGAAACAAGCAACAACAATCGAAAATCCTTGCCTTTAAAAATTCGAAGATTTAAGCATAGAGTATTCTACTACCTACCAGTATATTTGTATATTAATTTATATGAACCATATTGTCATTATGTGTAACATATTGTTGTGTTTGAAATTAGAAATAAATTAGTAGTGGATAAATTACCACCACTTCCAGCCGCGCAGCCAGGATTTTCGAAATCGAAAAATTCTCATTGCCGCCTGTAACACCCAAAGTGACTCTGGTAAAACCCACCGCGATTCCGCGCTTGTTAATTGAAAGAGACGTCTTTTCAGCGTATAATGATCATTCTGTTACGTAAAATATTCAATCCATGACAACTACGAGTTTCTAAAATATCTTTATATATTAATTTAATGTGTCCAACGTAACTCGCGGTTGCTTCTTACGTCCAAAAAAAACATTACTATTCCGTCCACGGCGATCTGTGACCTGAAAGTACGAGATAAACTGCCTGATGTATTTTATTTTAATACATATTTTTGCAATCTTGCCAACTCGTTATCG